GGAGAACATTTGACGCCAACGAACAATTACGACGACGATCATCACGACGTCGACTACGAAATCGACGACGACGACGACGATGACGACCATAACTAAAGCAGTTTGAGTTGACTTCGTTGTGTATTCGTTTAAAAAATCGTCATCGTCATCTTCTTCATCACCAGCATCACCAACAGCAGCAGCAGCAGCATCATCATCATCTTCATCATCTTCATCATTTAACACAACTAGTAGGTGCTGCTATGAATAAATAAAAGGCACATTTCTAGTAAAAATGGGGAGAAAAAAAACAACTTTTCTGCCTATAAAAACTTGGTTTTTTTTTCTGCTTTTTTTTTCAATGGTCATTTTTACCTCTTTCATCAAATCATTGAAATCAGCCGTTTATATGTGTGTATCGTATTTCTAGTTATTTTTTTTTTTGTGTTGAAAAATGTATCTGTTTGTGTATTTTTGTTAGTGTTTTTTTGTTGTTGTTTTTGTTGTTGTTGTTCTTGTTGTTCTTGTTGTGCGTATATGTACCTTTTCGTTCATCGATATTCCCGAAGTTCCTACTGCTGTTGTCTTTTTGTTTTTAAAAAGAAAAAAAATTTTACTTCCGTCATATAAAACCAACTATTTTTTTGCAGCTGTTCCTGTTACCACAATTTATTAACGATTCTGTCATCGGAAGTCTTTAAACAGTACTCAGTAACTATAAACTTTTTGCTCCATTCATTTTCAATTCGTATATTGAACGACAGAAGAATGTTAGTTTACTAGAAATTTTAACTCCGTCGAATCAGATTTAATTTTTCAAAAAAAGAGTGTTTCTGGTCTTCAAATACGCGACTTTCACTCTCGATACTTTTCTGGTTGACTTATAATCTGCCGCCATAAATGGAGAAAAATGCGACAAACCTCAACCGTAGTAATAGCCTGCGTGGATCGTTAGATTCCAATCGACGGCAGTCGAAACGGAAATCTGGCTTAGTAATTCTACGTTCCAATTCACTAGATCCTCGAGAACTACAAGGCTGTAAATCATCGGTGAATGCTAAACGACATTTGAATGAAGTATTCAGTTCAACTAATCTAACATATCTACGAAACGCATACGATAATCATGAAATCCGAAAAATCCAGGATCCGCTTTCAAGGCCAAAGTTACAAAAAATGGATTCATCAGATTCTACACAACTGCCAATCTTCAAAATTGGTGATTCGTTTACTGATTTGAAGACATTTCGGAAGTCCTCCTCAAGAACCTATGAGCGTCGGATATCTGATGATGATTCAGCGCCACCGTCAGTTCTGTTTCCGTCTGTACGGTAAGTAAAGCTCCTTATCTTTGATTTCAACTGAACTATAGCATTTTCAGATGAAAATTTTATAGACGTTTATAGCAAATAAAGGAAAAAACTGTTTAAAATTGCTGCACTTTTGAAAACTGCAATTTTATATAAATTGTTAGCTTTTTTTTAAATTACACTTAATTTTATCTATTTATCAAATTTTACTGCGTTTTATTTATTTTTTTATTTGTATTTTTAGTGTTTACTCTCAACAATAAATTTTTTTAAAATAATTGATTTTTAAGTACTTAATGTGCTGCTTATATTATACATATATTAGTTTAGCAAGCAAAAAAAATAAAAAATTCTTATCTTTTTTTTTTGAATATTTCGTTGCAAACAAAGTTTAAAAAGACGAATTGACTTGTTCAAAAACAAATTATTCATTTTTTGTTTCTATTATTGCTATTAATGTTATTATGATCAAAATGCTCATTACCAAGACTATTTATTATAATACCGTTGTTTCTGAAATTATCGATTGGGTAATGATACTGTTGGTTATTTGCAGAATGTTGGTGGCAGCACTGTTGTGCTGCTGCTTCATAACGCTGTCAATCAGTTCGTCAAACATGGCTGTAGCGCTAATTTGCATGACATCGTCACCACTTCATGGATACGGTGGTGAATTGGAATGGAAAAGTGAGGAGGTCAGTCAGTAAATCTAAATGCACTGTTTTTGAAGTCAAAATACCTTTGTCTGCCTGCTGCTTGTAAAGTAGTTTAGGCTAGATTCTGTTGAGTTCAAATGTAGTTTTAAAGGTAATAACTGACAGATACTTTTTGTTGGTTTCAAATTTGTTACCTGTTTTGTGAGAAAAAAATTGGCATCTTTTTTTTTTTTTTTTTTTTTTTTTTTTT